GTTGGCCATAAGGGATCTAGCCACTCTAACCACCATGCTACCAGCTGGCCCAACTTGTTTTTTTCCAAAAGGAAGGAACCACAATGATAAAGGAAAACAGGAAGAGATAATAATAATAAAGGCTTAGAAAATAGAACGTGAATAAACTTAGCAGACTGTCTAAATCCTAAGCCAGCAAGGGAAGCCAAGAGCAATGAGATATATTCAGCAAAACCTCTAACTACTCAGAACTTGTGGGCACCAGGGGTCTTGAAAGTAGGGATAGGGTAAAGGTAGAAACAGATGAATTTATGGAAAGTTTATTTAAAGAAACAGTTGCACTTCAGATCATATCCTCTATGCTGACATAAAACTGGTCCTTTTTTCCTTAGAGAGTATAAAATAGAGGGTCTTATGACTGGCAGGTGAGGTGGTGGTTAAGGGCGCCAGACTCCCATATGGCAGACCATGGATCGAGTCCCGGACCTGGTGGCTTGCTTTCTCACTCTCCCTCTTTCTCTCTCACTCTGCCCCACTCTGGTCAAATTAAAATAAATGAATAAATAAATAAGTTACATAATTCTTTAAAAAATAGAGGGTCTCTAGACTGGGTAGCTCTGGGCACAGTGGAAGGTGAACATAGTAAATGAGTCTGCATACTGAGTGCTGAGTCCCCAGAGTCCTCACTCTTCCTTCAACCATAGCATGCCATCAGCCTGCTCTGAACCTCCAAGTAAGAGACCAGAAATTGCTTTTCTGAAGAATCTGACGAGCTCGAGAATAAAGATCTGAAGTCTTTATTGACATTGGGTCATCTTAAGGAAAGAATCCAGCCAGAGTCAACAAATCCTTAGGATTTGGTCATGGTCATGCCACAGTCCCTTCATCCCTCCCTCCTTTGGGGGATTTTGGGCACACATGCATACACACACAGTGTATTCTTCACGCCTCTGTGTCTGGGACACAAACTATGTGGTCGGTCATGTGAAATCCAGCTCCCTTAACCATCAGGCCATGGGCTGGCCTGTTCTTAAATCCGAATAGAGAACAATGGGTCACTAAATAGCTAAGTAAAGTTTCTTACATAAAAAGAAGAGACCAGACAGTGGGGGAAAAAGGTAACTTGGATGAAACAGACTTTCAGGGCAAAGAAAATTTTAACAAAAAAACACTGGTTAATATCCTCAGAAGGATAAGAAATGGAATTATATTAATAAAACATGAACAGAATGATACTTTTTATAAAAGGAATATTCAAGGAACCAAAAAAGAACGGTAGGAAATCAAAACTGTGATAAGAAAAATAAAAAACAATGTCTAGAAGATAAAACTAAGTAAACTTCCCATTAAGAACAATTTTAAAAATGAATCAATAGAGGCCAACAGGTTGCATGGAGGTTAAGGCATGGGCCCCACATGTCTGACCATGGTTCAAGTCCTGGACCTGGTAGCTTGAGAAATATGTCAGGAGCATGTAGTATGCATGCCCAAAATCCCGAGAGGAGACAAGGAGAAGGGATCACAGTGTGGCCATCCTTGGGGGGGGGGGGCATGTCTTGCTTACTCTCTGGCAAGCACATGCACCCTATAACAAAAACTAAAAAAAGCAAAAGAAACAATAGAAAACAGAGGAAATATATGAGAATTGGAGAACTAGCCCAAAAGTCCAGTGTAACTGGAAGTTGAAATAAGATGCAAGAAATCGCATATGTAATTTTTAATGTAATCATAAAGAAAAAGTGAAAATAGGTAAAAGTAACTTTAATTATGTCTTATTTTCCTTACTGTATCTAAAATATTATAATATGCAATAATATAAAATACTGATAAGATGTTTTATGTTCTTTTTTTATTCATTCTAACTTGTCAAAGTCTGCAGTATCCACAAAGAACACATCCCATCTGACGGATCATGTTCCACAAACTTTAGAGTCACATGTCACTAGTAGCTTCCATATGGCCATGCAGATCTGAGTGACAGGAGTTCTAGAAATGGAGAGAGGAAGAAGGGCAGGGAAAAACAAGTAATAAGAAAATTTCTCAGACTTGAAGGATACCAGTTTCAATTGGTACCAACAGTTGGCATAATGGCTATGTCACTGGACTCCAGTGTTGTTGACTGTTGTTCGAGTCCCGGATCCAGTGGCTTAAAACTCACGCCGGGCGTGTGCGCATGTGTGCCCAAGATCTCGAGAGGAGAATGGAGGAGAAGGGATTGTGGCGTGGCCATACCCCGTGGGGGATGATTTCTCACTTTCTGTCTCTCCATCTTTCTAGCGCCCGCACGTGCTCTATGGCAAAAACCTCTTCAAAAAAAAATTAAAAAGTGAATAGGCTCCCAGAAAACCTAAATGAGTTAGATACAGGCCAAGGTACTTCACTGTGTTATTTCAAACCACCTGGGACTCAGAGAAACCTCTAAGGCTTCAAAGAAAAAAATAGGGTACAGTCAAGGATCGGATGTCAACACAGCTTTAGAGTTCTCAGCAACACTGGACAGGTGACAATGGATCAGTGCCTTTAAAATACTCAAGGAAAAGTACCACCAACCTTTAATACTGTAACTAGCCAAATACCAGCAGAGTTATAGCATGGAAAAAGGCACTTTCATATATTCACAATCTAGAAAACTTTCTGACATGCTCAGTTTTTCAAGAAGCTGATAGAGAATGTCCTGTATCCACTAAGAAGTAAACAGGAAATGAAGGGAGTGTGAGAACCAGGCTGAGACCAAGCAGTCCAGATGTTAGAGTAGGTCAGAAGTAACCAGATGTTAGAGTAGGTCAGAAGAAAGATGCAGTGGTCTCAGGATATAATGCAATTAATAGAAAATCTGGGCCTGGCTCCATAGCCTAGTGGTTAAGGAAGCTGAATTCGACCTGACCAACTGCATGGTTCAAATCCCAGTGCAAACCCCAGGTTGGTGGCTTGAAAAACACACATGATGAGTGTGCACGCATAACCCAAATCCTGACAGGATGGAGAGATGGAAGAGAAGGAACTGCAGCATGACCACCCTCATGGAGGGGATATTTCACCATCTCCCTCTCTCTGGCTCACTGTCTGTCTCTGGCTAACACTTGGACACTCTGGCAATTAAAATAGATGATCTTGGGACTAGCAGATGGCATAATGCTTGTGTCACTGGACTCCCATGTAATCAACCATGGTTCAGCTTAAAACTCATGCTGGGTGCATGTGCGTGCATGCCCAAAATCCCAAGGGGAGAATGGAGAAGAAGGGATTGTGGCATGGCCGTTTCCTCTGAGGAATGATTTCTCATTTCTTGTCTTTGTCTCTCCAGCGACCACATACACTTTATAGCAGAAATCTCCTTTTTAATAGATAAAGTGTGTGTGTGTGTGTGTGTGTGTGTGTGTGTGTGTGTGTGTGTATAAAAATAAAACGATGATCTGATGGGACTGCGTGTGGATTTAGATAACAGGAAGAGGCTTGGAGGCAGAATTAGTGATAAGTACACAAAAGGCTAACCAAATAAGAGATTAAAGAAAAATACAAAGTCATAAACTGAGTATTAAGCAATTTCACTATATTAGGAAGATGGGGGACCAGCAGATGACATAGCGGTTACGTTGCTGGACTCCCACATAGCCGACTACAATTTGAACCCTAGACCCCATGGCTTGAAACTCATGCTGAACGTGTGTGCCTGCATGCCCAAGACCCCAGGAGGAGAGTGGAGGAGAAGGGATTGTAGCATAGCCATCCTCCCTGGGGGATGATTTTTTTTTTTTTTTAGTTTTTTTTTTTTTTTTTGGAGAGATTTTCACTGTAGGGCGCGTGCGCTCGCCAGACAGACAGAGAGAGACATAGAGACAGAAAGCGAGAAATCACCCCCCAGGGGGGATGGTCACGCCGCAATCCCTTCTCCTCCATTCTCCTCTCGGGATCTTGGGCACACACGCACACGCGCTCGGCGTGAGTTTTAAGCCACCGGGTCCGGGACACGAACCGTGGTCGACTACGTGGGAGTCCAGCGACATAGCCATTACGCTAACTGCTGGTTCCCCCTGGGGGATGATTTTTCACTTTCCTTCTCACTGTGTCTCTCTCTCTCCTGCAAGCGCATGTACCCTAAGGCAAAAACTTAAAAAAAAAAAAAAAAAAAAAGATAGGAAGGGCATTTAAAAGAGAGAAAAGGTAAAAAGCTAAAATTCATCTTTTTTTTTTTTTAAGGTTTTTTTGTTTTGTTTTGTTTTGGTTTGCTATAGGGCGCGTACACTCACCAGACAGAGACAGAAAGCGAGAAATCACCCCCCCAGGGGGGATGGCCACACCACAATGCCTTCTCCATTTTCCTCCTGGGATCTTGGGCACGCACGCACACGTGCCCGGCGTAAGTTTTAAGCCACCAGGTCTGGGACGCTTACCGCGGTCGACTACATGGGAGTCCAGCAACATAGCCATTACGCTAACTGCTGGTCCCAAATTCATCTTTTCAATGCAAAAATTTATATAGTTTCTAAAACTGAAATATAGGAAAGAGCCATATAGTCATGTTGACCTGAAAATATGCAGTGAAATGCAAAATAATCACTTGAAAGTGATTGGTTCTGGGATGGGAAAATAAAGGGAAGAAGAGGTCTACCACTTTTTCTAACAGACTTTGTAAACCATGTCTAAGCCTGAAGTATATATATATATATATATGTTTTTGTTTTTGTTTTTGTTTTTGCTATAAGGCGTGTGCGCTCGCCAGAAAGACACAGAAAGCAAGAAATCACCCCCAGGGTGGGTGGCCACGCTGCAATCCCTTCTCTGTTCTCCTCTCGGGATCTTGGGCATGCACAGACACGCACCTGGCATGAGATTAAGACACCAGGTCTGGGACTCGAACAGCAGTGGACTACATGGGAGTCCAGCGACATAGCCATTACACTAACTGCTGGTCCCTATGTATGTAGTTTTTATTAAAAAAGAAACATAGGCAGGTGTAAACTTGGGTGAATAAAGGACCCTTCCTAGTCCCATGCTAATGAACATCCTGTCCTGTCTCCTAGCATCGAGTATTGGTTCCGCTGCATGGACGTGGATGGAGATGGCGTTCTCTCTATGTACGAGCTGGAGTATTTCTACGAAGAGCAGTGTGAACGGATGGAAGCCATGGGTATTGAGCCCTTGCCATTCCATGATTTGCTGTGCCAGATGCTTGACCTTGTGAAGCCAGCCAACGATGGTGAGTCTGAGTACAGGGTTGTTTGCACTGTTCTTCTGTGTAACAGAGTAGGACGTATAACCCCAGATCATCCTGAATTATTTAACTTTCCAGAGTCTTCAAAACACACCCCAAGTACAGAAGTGTTTAAAGTTTCTATTAGTGTAGAACCATAATTGATGTAAATCCACTATTTAAGAAAAAAAAAATTTTAAGAGAAAGTTTCGCTATAGGGTGTGAGCACTCACCAGAGAGACAGAGAGAGACAGAAAAAGGGAAGTCACTCCAGGAGGGTGGCCATACCACAATCCCTTCTCCATTCTCCTCTTGGGATCTTGAACATGCCCACACACAAGCCCAGTGTGAATCTTTTGTTTGGTTGGTTGGTTGGTTGGTTGGTTGGTTTTTTTTTAAGAGAGAAGAGAGAGACAGAGACAGAAAGCGAGAAATCACCCCCGGGGGGTATGGCCACACCGTAATCCCTTCTCCTCCATTTTCCTCTTGGGATCTTGGGCACGCGCACACACGCGCCCAGCGTGAGTTTAAGCCACGGGGTCCGGGACTCAAACTGTGATCGACTACATGGGAGTCCAGTGATGTAACCATCACGCCATCTGCTTGTCCCTTTAAGAAACTATTTTTTCCACAGAGAAAGTGCATCAATGGTTGCAAGGGTGAGAGGAAGGGGAAAGGACTGTTTGAGGATACAGAATTTCTCCCAGGATTATGATAATGTTATGGTTGTGTGGGCTGGACAAACAGTGGGCATACTAAAAGGCACTAAACTGTAGACTTCAAAAAGGTTAATTCTTGGGTTAGGTGAATTTTACCTCAACTTAAAGGAAAGAAATGAGATTTTTGTAATAAAATAAACACATACATACACTTTTAAACTTCAATGAAAGTTTTTTCTTTCAGCAGAACTACTCAATTAAATTTACCGGAGTTGTTTGTTTTCACATAGGGAAAATAACTCTTCGAGATCTCAAGAGGTGCAGAATGGCTCACATCTTCTATGACACTTTCTTTAATCTGGAGAAATACTTAGACCATGAACAGAGAGATCCCTTTGCGGTCCAGAAGGTACCAGTAAAACTTAAACTTCTGTTTGAGGGCTGTAATATCAAGGACTGTGTGCTACATGTTAAAATGGTCTCTGCTTGCAGGAATCTTGGTATTTAAAGACGTAACCTTTAAACTTGGAGTCCCCATTTTCCGAGAACCAGGGACCGGCCTCATGGAAGACAGTCACTCCATGGCTCCGGGTGGGGGGCAGTTGGTCCCAGAATGAACCAAGCGCACCACTTGCATCATGCACCCCATTTCCACCTCTGCCACATTGCAGTACACAGTGAAATAGTCACGCAAGAGGGTTGTGTTCCCCTGAGAATCCAGTATTGCCACTGATCTGACAGGAGGTGTCGCCACGGCAGTGCAGACACAAAGCCTCACTCACGCCCTGCCGTCCACCTCACACTGCAGTCAAATGACCAGCACCTGTCTATGGTCCTTGGTTGGGGATCCCTGCATTAAAACATTTCATCAGGCAGTGGGAGGGAATCAAGGATTAGAAAAAAAAAGTGAAGATGTACAATGGTTGAGGGAAATAAAAAAAGCCTAAGTAAAGGGAAAAAAATACTTTTAGAATACTTTATCATTTCTATATAGCTTATTTTTTTTTTAAGAGATTTTTGCTATAGGGTACGTGCACTCACCAGAAACAGAGAGAGAGAGAAATAGAAAGTGAGAAATCATCCCCCAGGAGTAATGGCCACGCCGCAATCCCTTCTCCTCCATTCTCCTCTCGGGATCTTGGGCATGCATGCACACGCGCCCGGTGTGAGTTTAAGCCACCGGGTCTGGGACTCAAACCGCAGTCAGCTACATGAGAGTCCAGCGACATAGCCATTACACCAACTGCTGGTCCCAAAGAACAAATGTATGCAGCATTGGGAGTGGGCTAGGGTGACCAGTTCATCTGGTTTTAAGTCTCACATCTTCAGCAACCCCCTCAGTCCCAGCAAACCTGGACAGATGGTCACCTACCCCCCATAGGCCAAGTTTGGTGATTTGTAAGGCTTTTTTCCAACCCTGAAATTTTTTTTATTCTGATGCTTATATACGTAAGTTCAGTGTTCTTTCTTGAACTCTGATGTGGTTTAATAGAAAACAATAATCATGAGACTAACTTGGTCCAGAGGGCAGAGTGTCAGACTGCGAACCAGTGGTTCTACCAATAAACAACTGAGTAACTTTGGGGAAAACTAAAAATTCATCAAACTCTTTTTTTTTTTTTTAGAGATTTTTGCTACAGGGCACGTGCGCTTGCCAGACAGACAGAGAGACAGAGAGACAGAAAGCGAGAAATCACCCCCCAGGGGGGATGGCCACGCTGCAATCCCTTCTCCTCCATTCTCCTCTTGGGATCTTGGGCACACACGCACACGCGCCTGGCGTGAGTTTTAAGCCACCGGGTCCTGGACGCGAACCGTGGTCGACTACGTGGGAGTCCAGTGACATGGCCCTTACGCTAATTGCTGGTTCCCAAAATTCATCAAACTCTTAAAAGAGAGACTGAAAGACCTAAAGCAGTCCTCTCCCACAGCTCATTTTTATGGTTAGGTAACCTGCATCAGTTCATTGAGTGTAATGTAAAAAACTTGTGTACCTATATACACATTAGAAACTAGTTATAACAAAGTAATTTTGAAAAAAATTTGTGCTGAGCCTACGTAGCCAGCTTGCTGTTCGTCTTCTTGACCCAGTGGCTTGAAAATCACAAACGGACCACATGTGCATATGTGCCCAAAAGCCGAAGAAAATGGAAGAGAAGGGATTGCAGCGTGGCCATCCCCCCAAAGGGTGCTTGCTCGCTCTCTGTCCTCCTTCCCCCATGGGTGTGCACTCGCTCACTCTCTCTCTCTCTCACATCTCTTATCTCTCTTCGAAGAGTAAACACCCTGAGGCAAAATAAATAAATAAAGGGCCAGCTGGTAGGATAGTGGTTAGGGCAGGAGACCCCACATAGCTGACAGCACAGTTAGAGTCTCAGACCTGGTGGCTTAAAGAGCACACTGGGTACATGAGTGTTTGTACCCAAAATCTGAAAACAGGAATGAAGAGATTGTGGCATGGCCATCACCCCTAGGACTTGATTTCTCACTTTCTCTTTATCTCCGTCTCTCTCTAGCAAGTACATTACAATCTATGGCAAACTTAAAAATATTTTTAAGTGTCCTTCTAACTTTTAAAAATGTATCAATCGGCACATCTGTATTAGAAGATATGTTGGCCTGGATTGCGTCGTACCATTCATTTCCAGGATTCCAGGGTAAATAGATTTCCTCATTGTAGTGAAAACTCAAAACTGCTCAGTAGACAGCCTTCACGTAATGTGACACTTTCCCAGTGTTAATGCCTGCCATGCATGGCTAGCAGTGTTGAACATCATTCTGTGTCTGAATAGACATGTATGCCTCCCCATGTGAACCCTCAAAACCCTGGACATACGATCCATGTCCAAAAACAAAAAGAATAATATCACCACTTGCTCCTGCCATTCCTCTGTTTAAGAAGTAAAAAATCATTGATTGGAGGAGGGACCGTCTGAGCGGAGGGACAGTATTACACAGGAAGCTTTTGCAGTGTTTGCTTTCCTCCACATGCTGTGTTAACTGTTTGACCTCAACAATAATAGGAATATGAAGCTCACTTTCTAAAAACAAGTACTGCAGCTGATCTTAGGACATAGCATGGTGCATTATTGCTGGCTTACAGTCAATATTACATTTCATTGAATTTAGCATCACCCATTAATCTACATATCTCTACAGAGAGCAGAGCATTGCCAATTTTCTAAGATGCATGGCAATTGCAGAAAAGTTCAAAGAGTGACAGCAGTCTTAAATGGATAAAGACAGTAATTGATTCATTGTATGCTCAATATTTAGGCACTTATTTTAGGCACAACTGACCATGGGTCATAGGAAATACAAACTACTTTTCAGCTTAGAAAGACATTTTCTCTAGAACATGTAACCTAAGACACTGCTCATTACTGTAGAAAGGAAAGAGAATGCATAGCATTTCTTTTATTTGTGTTATTTTTACTTTAAAATGTTTACCTTTAGATTTTACTTCTTTTTATAAGGAATGGTCATTGGTACCAGCAGATGGCATAATAGTTACATTGCTGGACTCTCACATAGTCGACTGTGATTCAAGTCCTAGACCAGATGGCTCCAAACTCAGGCCAGGCACGTGTGCATGTGTGCCCAAAATCCTGAGAGAGAATGGAAGAGAAGGGATTGCAGTGTGGCTATCCCCCCTGGGGGAGGGGAGTAATTTCTCACTTTCTGTCTCTCTGTTTCTCCAGCACGTGCACACACCCTTTAGCAAAAAAAAAAATTCCCTTAGGAAAAAAATGGTGGGGCTGGCAGATGGCATGGTGGATAAGGGCACTGGTCTCCCCCATAACTGACAGCAGTTCAAATCCTGGAGCTGGTGGCTTGCTTTCTCACTTTCTCTCTCATTCTGTCCTTCACTGATCAGATTTAAATAAATAAATAAATAAATAAAGTTAAATAAAATAATTCTTTAAAAAAGTGGTAATAGGAACCAGCAGTTAGTGTAATGGCTATGTCGCTGGACTCCCACGTAGTCGATCGCGGTTTGCATCTCGGACCGCGTGGCTTAAAACTCACACCGGGCATGTGTGCGTGTGTGCCCAAGATCCCGAGAGGAGAATGGAGGAGAAGGAATTGCGGCGTGACCATCCCCCCTGGGGGGTAATTTCTCGCTTTCTGTCTCTATGTCTCTCTCTGTCTGTCTGGCGAGCACTCGTGCCCTATAGCAAAAAAAACCTCTCCAAAAAAAAAAAAATAGTGGTAATCATCAGTATTTGTCCTCAGCTACAAAAAAACATAGTAGAGAGTACACCTGTTGCCTAGTGGTTACGAGAGCCAGATTCCACATGGCCAGCCATGGCTTGAATCTTTGCCCTGTCAGCTTAAAACACATGCCAGCTCTGAGTGGGAGCATGCCCAGGATCCTGGCAGGATGGAGAATTGGAAATGAAGGGACTGCAGCATAGCCAGGCCCCTGTGGGAGGTGCTTTCTTCCTCTCCCTCTCTCTCTCTGGTGCGTGCAAGTGCCTTCTGGGAACAACAGCAACAGAACATACACAATAAACCCCAGGCATGAGATCTGAGAAGTGTTGAGATATACTGTGTGTACAGAGATGACAAAGGTACAGGAGCAAAAAGTGATGTCCAAAGCAGCTAAAATGAGAAAGGAGTGATTTGGGAGATAAGGGTTATTTCCATGAAAACAGCACATTTAATAGGGCATCTGAGTTGGCACTGACCATCTCATGATTCTCCCTCAGCCTTCCGAGTGGCTGGGACTTCAGGTGTGCTACACCGGGCCTGCCTTTTGGGTGGTCAGGAATTGAACCCAGCCTCTCATGTGGCCTCAACTTGCTACACAGCAGAGTCTACCAGGGTGCACTACCAAAGCTGGGCCTAAGCTGGCATTTACAGAAATAGTAAACATTTGCTAGAGGAAGGGGTGTAGATCATGGACAAGCTGCAGGTCACCCCAGATTTGGGATTGCTGGGAATTGTCGACATATTTTTCTATGGAAAAATGTGTCATGACTTTCTCAACAACCCTGTAGAAGCTGCTGTGCAGTGTGTTGGAGGAGAGGGTCCTGGGGAAAGGTCTCATTCTAAGGCTACAGAATCTAGACCTGAAAGATCTATTATAATTTTGTGACTTGGGGCATAGAAAAAAAATCACCTTAGGAATGTTGCTTTGGTACCTTTTTAATCTGTTGCACTATGTTCCAGATAGGTTTGTGCTGACAGTGATGTGCAACAGTTGTGATGACCTGTCACTAATTCTTTGCCCTCAGTCATTTTTGTTTCCTGTGGCTGTAATCTTTCCAATCAGGACGTTGAGAACGATGGGCCTGAGCCCTCCGACTGGGACCGGTTCGCTGCCGAGGAGTACGAGACTCTCGTTGCAGAGGAGTCTGCCCAAGTGCAGTTCCAGGAAGGGTGAGTGCTCTCCCTGTCTCTCAGAACTTTTTAACAGAGGTTCTCATGTCAAGAATATTAAACCTACCTTTAAAAAATCCTTTTCTGGGACTAGCAGATGGCATAATTGTTACATCACTGGACTCCCACGTGGTGGACCACAGTTTGAGTCCTCTACCTGGTGGCTTAAAATACACAGGTCATGGGACCAGCAGTTAGCGTAATGGCTATGTCGTTGGACTCCCATGTAGTCGAACGCAGTTCGAGTCCCGGACCCAGCTTGGACTCACACCGGGCGCACGTGTGTGCATGGCCAAGATCCCGAGAGGAGAATGGAGGAGAAGGGATTGTGGCATGGCCACCCCCCCGGGGGGTGATTTCTCGCTTTCTATCTCTCTGTCTCTCTGTCTGTCTGGTGAGCGCATGTGCCCTATAGCAAAAAAAAAAAAAACACAGGTCATATGTGCATGCATGCCCAAAGTCCTGAGAGGAGAATAGAGGGGAAGGGATTGCAGTGTGACCATCCACCCAGGGAGATGATTTCTCACTTTCTTTCTCTCTGTCTCTCCATGGAAAAAAAAAATCATTAAAAAAATGCTTTTCTACTTTTTTTACCTTTTTTTAGAATTATTTTATTTAGCTTTATTTATTCATTCATTTATTTTTATTTGACCAGAGAGGGACAGAGTGAGAAAAAGAAGAGACAGAGAGAAAGCTAGAAAGGGAGAAAGCAAGCTATCAGGTCTGGGACTCAAACCATAGTTGGCCATGTGGGAGTCTAGTGCCCTTAACCACCACACCACCTGTTGGCCCCTACATTTTTCCATTTTTGAATAGCATTGTAAAATGACTAATTTTTAACCAGCTTTAGTTAAGTGACTACTTTCTCTAGCATCTTTTTTCTTTCCTTCTTCACTAATTTCCTGATACTATTCTCATGTCTCCTTTTCTATAATAGAGTCACACCTTTCACTGGAAACCACTATTACTGGGCAGTCATACTGCTCTTTCAGTGATATCAGTAAACGGGTTAAGGAAGCAAGAGCAACTCAAGCTCTTTTAAATAATAAAGATGATCATGTTTAAAACAAATCATATTATCATATCGGGACCAGCAGTTGGTGTAATGGCGATGTCGCTGGACTCCCATGTAGTCGACCGCGGTTCGAGTCCCGGACCTGGTTGCTTAAACTCATGCTGGGTGCATAAAGATCCCAAGAGTAGAATGGAGGAGAACATGGGGTTACGAGAGCCGGATTCCACAGGGCCAGCCATGGCTTGAATCTTTGCCCTGTCAGCTTAAAACACATGCCAGCTCTGAGTGGGAGCATGCCCAGGATCCTGGCAGGATGGAGAATTGGAAATGAAGGGACTGCAGCATAGCCAGGCCCCTGTGGGAGGTGCTTTCTTCCTCTCCCTCTCTCTCTCTGGTGCGTGCAAGTGCCTTCTGGGAACAACAGCAACAGAACATACACAATAAACCCCAGGCATGAGATCTGAGAAGTGTTGAGATATACTGTGTGTACAGAGATGACAAAGGTACAGGAGCAAAAAGTGATGTCCAAAGCAGCTAAAATGAGAAAGGAGTGATTTGGGAGATAAGGGTTATTTCCATGAAAACAGCACATTTAATAGGGCATCTGAGTTGGCACTGACCATCTCATGATTCTCCCTCAGCCTTCCCAGTGGCTGGGACTTCAGGTGTGCTACACCAGGCCTGCCTTTTGGGTGGTCAGGAATTGAACCCAGCCTCTCATGTGGCCTCAACTTGCTACACAGCAGAGTCTACCAGGGTGCACTACCAAAGCTGGGCCTAAGCTGGCATTTACAGAAATAGTAAACATTTGCTAGAGGAAGGGGTGTAGAGCATGTACAAGCTGCAGGTCACCCCAGATTTGGGATTGCTGGGAATTGTCGACATATTTTTCTATGGAAAAATGTGTCATGACTTTCTCAACAACCCTGTAGAAGCTGCTGTGCAGTGTGTTGGAGGAGAGGGTCCTGGGGAAAGGTCTCATTCTAAGGCTACAGAATCTAGACCTGAAAGATCTATTATAATTTTGTGACTTGGGGCATAGAAAAAAAATCACCTTAGGAATGTTGCTTTGGTACCTTTTTAATCTGTTGCACTATGTTCCAGATAGGTTTGTGCTGACAGTGATGTGCAACAGTTGTGATGACCTGTCACTAATTCTTTGCCCTCAGTCATTTTTGTTTCCTGTGGCTGTAATCTTTCCAATCAGGACGTTGAGAACGATGGGCCTGAGCCCTCCGACTGGGACCGGTTCGCTGCCGAGGAGTACGAGACTCTCGTTGCAGAGGAGTCTGCCCAAGTGCAGTTCCAGGAAGGGTGAGTGCTCTCCCTGTCTCTCAGAACTTTTTAACAGAGGTTCTCATGTCAAGAATATTAAACCTACCTTTAAAAAATCCTTTTCTGGGACTAGCAGATGGCATAATTGTTACATCACTGGACTCCCACGTGGTGGACCACAGTTTGAGTCCTCTACCTGGTGGCTTAAAATACACAGGTCATGGGACCAGCAGTTAGCGTAATGGCTATGTCGTTGGACTCCCATGTAGTCGAACGCAGTTCGAGTCCCGGACCCAGCTTGGACTCACACCGGGCGCACGTGTGTGCATGCCCAAGATCCCGAGAGGAGAATGGAGGAGAAGGGATTGTGGCATGGCCACCCCCCCGGGGGGTGATTTCTCGCTTTCTATCTCTCTGTCTCTCTGTCTGTCTGGTGAGCGCATGTGCCCTATAGCAAAAAAAAAAAAAACACAGGTCATATGTGCATGCATGCCCAAAGTCCTGAGAGGAGAATAGAGGGGAAGGGATTGCAGTGTGACCATCCACCCAGGGAGATGATTTCTCACTTTCTTTCTCTCTGTCTCTCCATGGAAAAAAAAAATCATTAAAAAAATGCTTTTCTACTTTTTTTACCTTTTTTTAGAATTATTTTATTTAGCTTTATTTATTCATTCATTTATTTTTATTTGACCAGAGAGGGACAGAGTGAGAAAAAGAAGAGACAGAGAGAAAGCTAGAAAGGGAGAAAGCAAGCTATCAGGTCTGGGACTCAAACCATAGTTGGCCATGTGGGAGTCTAGTGCCCTTAACCACCACACCACCTGTTGGCCCCTACATTTTTCCATTTTTGAATAGCATTGTAAAATGACTAATTTTTAACCAGCTTTAGTTAAGTGACTACTTTCTCTAGCATCTTTTTTCTTTCCTTCTTCACTAATTTCCTGATACTATTCTCATGTCTCCTTTTCTATAATAGAGTCACACCTTTCACTGGAAACCACTATTACTGGGCAGTCATACTGCTCTTTCAGTGATATCAGTAAACGGGTTAAGGAAGCAAGAGCAACTCAAGCTCTTTTAAATAATAAAGATGATCATGTTTAAAACAAATCATATTATCATATCGGGACCAGCAGTTGGTGTAATGGCGATGTCGCTGGACTCCCATGTAGTCGACCGCGGTTCGAGTCCCGGACCTGGTTGCTTAAACTCATGCTGGGTGCATAAAGATCCCAAGAGTAGAATGGAGGAGAAGGGATTGCGGCATGGCCAACACCCTGGGAGAGGGGGGGATTTCTCGCTTTCTTTCTCTCTGTCTCTGTCTTTCTGGCGAGCGTACACACCCTATAGCAAAAATCTGTAAAAAATAAAAAAAGAAAAAAAATCATATCATAATATGATTTTTTGCTTTCAAAACCCCATATAGAAAGTAATTTCTACACTTTTTTTTGTTTTTAAATAATTATTTATTCCATTTTATTTACTGTTAGTATTTCTAAATTTTGTTATAGGGCATGTGCACTCATTAGAGAGAGACAGAGCAAGAGTGAAAGTAAACTGCCAGGTCTGGAACTCGAACCGCAGTCAGCCATGTGGGAGTCTAGCGCCTTAACCACCACACCACCTGCTGGCCCCCACTATATATAATCGATACTAGTCAGGGTATAATTCAATAAAGGGACCATATAGAGAAGTTATATTGGGCAAGAATTTAACTACTTAGAACATTTCAGCAACTTAACTTGCTGGCTTTTCCCATCATCTTCTAGAGACCCTGTTACCAATGCCTTTATTTCTTCCTTTGTTATTGTTTCTCTAAGGCTCTTAATCCTTATCAGCAATGTAATGCATTTTTGAACAGATAATACATTCATGTGATACAGTATTCAAAGAAATAAAAGAATAAATAGTAAAAATTTCCTACTACCCAGTTCACCCCAGAAGCAGCCAATGTTAGTGTTTTCTTATGTACCCTCTCTTCATATATCTATCTATATATATATATTCATTTGTCAGAAAAATCATGACATATTTTCCTGTGTTTTTCTGTGCAAAAATGCATCATGACTTTTGCAACAACTCAGTATACATTTTTTCACTTTTTTCCCCATTTTTCCTATAGCTTTTATTTTTACTTATTACATTTTTCCCCTTTATGCATGATAGACTGTGTGCATACAAGAGTGAGAAACAGGTGAACACCCTCTGAACAGTCTGGTTACTGTGATTCCCTCCACCTCCTGTCCTCTAGCCCAGTAGATCCTGGGCACTCACATGCATTTGCCCAGTGTGCTCTGAGGCCGACCTGGAGGGGGACTCAAACCCCTGTCGTCATACAGGACTCCCAGACACACACACACTCCCAGCAGCACACCACTGCTGCACCGCAGACCTGGCCATCCTTTTTTCTTAGACAAATGCTAAGATACTATGTTTATTACTTTGTCTTGCTTTTTTTTCTACACTCATTAGATTAATGAGGGATTAATTTTTTATAGCTATGTAGCATCCCATTATAGCTAGAAATTATAATTTCACAATAAATCATCTTATATATGTATATAGGATAAATTCCTAGAAGTGTAGCAAACAGCATACTTAGTGTAGGTATTATAAAAGAGTTTACAAAGACTTTAAAAAGGGTTTTAAAAAAGAAACGCTTTCTGCATCTCTGTCTCTCTCTGTCTTTCTGGCATGTGCACACGCCCTA